CTTTGAACCTGGCACGCTCACTCGGTGCTTTTCAGATGAGTTAACAGATGGCTATGTTTCAGTTGTAATATTTTCATTTTTCTAAGTTAATGTTGTAAAATAATTTCTGGTAGCAGCACAAAACAATGTGTCTTTCATTTTCTCAGTGTGTGTGGAAACTACAGACCACAGTATAAGAACTCCCAGGGGCACAGAGAAGGGGCAGGAATTCAAGGATTATATCATAGACTGTTTTAAGATATAATTATGATGTTACCGTTTTACAGGAAGCACAAGAGTTATAAAGGGGTTCACTTGTAGGCTTTGTACGTGAGAATTTCACTTGGAGGACTGATGAAGGCTAAAATCATAGCTTGATTCCAGTCATCCTTTTATCTATATTAGTCTCTCTTTCCTGCTCCCCCCTCCTCCAAGGTTTTACTGAATATCATAGTACATCTTGTTAAGCACATCTGTTAGTATTCACTGCACAAGAATTCTCATGTGGTTAGCCTTTCTCAATAGACTTGTTTCTTTCATAATTACTTATTTACTGAACCGTGCTGGTTTGTTCCCAGCATTAAAATGTATATCCTCTGAGAACTTCCTCCACCTCAAAGGCACATAGACTGATAGAGTGGGGTTATTTACTGCAACTCAAGAGTTATTTTCACATTGATCCTTTTTCCTGGGTCTACGCTGTTAAAAACAAAATGACTGCTGTGCAGTGGATACCCTTACAGTGGCCATTAGGAAACTCCCTATTTCCAACAAATATAGGTCTTGATCTAGGTGCAGGTTTCTTATAATTATTTTGGATAGGGGTGTGATTGAGTTATACTAGTACAAACTGTAGTGCAAACATTTTTATATCAGTACTAGAAGACTTACCCAGTGTTTGGTGAGTCCTGGTCTCGCTTGGGGTGCTGGGGGCCATGCTGCCTGACTGCTGGCTTCTCCCTGGGGCTGGCCCAGGGCTGGGAGGCACAGTGCAAGCTTCCTACTGGCTTCTCCCCGGGGCCAGCCTGGAGTCGGGGCGGGGGGAGGGGAGCGGAGGGAGAGTGGAAAACTGCACAGTCCGAGTGAGGGCAGGGGTGGGGGGACTCAAGGCAAGGGCTAGAGGATGCATGATTCAGGGCAGGCAATGAGGGACTTGGGGCAGGAGGCTGAGAGGTCTTAGGGGGCTCCCCAGCAATGCCCATAGTGGTGAGGGTGGTGCTGCTCCAAACAGGCTCCCCAGGGTGCCTGAGGCTGCACTGTTGGGTTCTATCCTGGGGAGGGCTCTGCTGAGCCACCTGGGGCTGTGCTGCTCCAACAGCAATGGCTGCTGAGGGCCACCCGCAGAGATGGGGAATATGCTGCCCACCCGGGCTCCCCGTCCAGCACTGGGGCTGAAGGCCGGGAAGGGAGTGAATTGGACTGTGGCTGTGGGGCATGGAGCCCAGCATGGGAGAAGGGCAACCCTGCCCAGCACAGGAACCTTAATCTTGGCCAGTAACATTCAGACCCTCTCCCCCAGACAACTACTGTGTTACAGGCGCAGCCCTCCCTCCCCTGTGGTCATTCTGCAGTATAACTGTGGCTGCTAGCAGACCCCTGCCTTAGTGTTTTATGAGAAACCATCGCATTCCACATTCTGTTCTCCTGGCACAACCAAACTCTGACCTTGCTTTAAGTTATGATAAAAGGAAGGTAGATAGCAAATTGTGTGGTCCTAACTCTTACTGTTTAGGAGGAGTTCTTGAACAAATGGACTCATAGATGGACACACAGAGACAAACGCACAAACTCTTTCAAATAAATAACATTTTTAAAAGTGCCTTTTACCAGTGCAACTTATTCTCCTTCCTTAATGGGAATAACCTGTAAGCACCTTTATACCAATATAGCTGTGTCCATACTTAGAGATGGAGGGCTGGTTTACCACTTTAAGCATACCAATATAATTAGAGCTCTGCAACTTTTGTGTATAGACAATATAAAGATTTCTAGGCAGCCGCATACAAATGCCGCCTGCTAAGATAATTACAGACACAAACTATTACTTAAATTGGATTTGGGCATCTAAGGATGCATCTACACTGCACTGTTATTTCGAGATAATTAGCATTATTTCTAAATAACAATGAGAGCGTCTACACAGCCATTCCTTTATACCAGGTATGTAAAATGAGACCCTAATACATAATTGTATAGTTGTACTTATTAGCAACTTGTAGATATAAGGCAGTTCTACTTTCAGTTGATCTCGGTGGAAATCCTCTGGATTTACACCAGGGTAACTGAGAATAAATTTGACCCAACATATTTAAGCAGATACTTTTAGACAAATTCTAACTCAGGTAAATTTGATTTTGTTCAAATAACTATACTCTAACAAACTTTTTTTAATTCCCAGCTGCCACTTTTATGGAACACTGGAAGAGAAAACAGATGCGTCTCAACTACAGATGGGATCTGACTGGGTTTGAAGAAGAGGAGGTTAGTTTTGTTTGACTACTTTTCATGGTTTTGTTTTGTTATGTTTTAACTTCAGAAATCCCATCGTAAATGGCTCCTTACTCTAAAATGTTAGGACTTCTCTTCTTGGAGTACTGCAAGATGTTTTTAGTACTTCCAAGGTGCAAAGAGAAATCCTGTATGTGAACTATTTCTGAGTTTTAATTATGGGTGTATTACTAATACATCTTGTAACCATGGAAGCATAATTGTATAGCTCCAATCCACACATACACATACCCGCAGATAAACAAGCTTTTTTTTTAATGATATTAGGTCATACTTAGTAATGCAGGCATGGAATATATAGCTCATGTACAATTCCCTGACTCAAGAAAGGATGCTAAAAACAGAGAAATTTACTCTCCTGTTAGTTACTTTGCTGCAGTCAAGAATGGCTCTATCAAAGCTGGTAAAGTTTATACCATTATAAAAGCAGCATGAACAATCAAATTCTGAAAATGGCTTAGTTTCTCCATTCTAGTAAGTGGGAGAAACTCCCATATACTTTCTACATTGATATGGAGTATTATGTAAAAACACTGGTACACAAATTTGGAGGCTTTTTGCTGTGTGTGCGCCAAAAAAAAAACTTAAGCAAAATTTATATTCACCATATTTGGGAATGATGAAAGATAGAAAAATCCAAACAAAAATATTCAAAATATTTAAATATATGCAAAATAGTGCTATATATTTTAGCATTAATGGAATAAAATGAAAAGAGTAATTCTGGAGATCTGAATTAGTCAATTTTTTTTAAACTCTGTTAATTTTTTAAAAAATTGTTGTGCTTGATCTAGAGCCCATTGAATGGAGTTGCAGTTTTATCAGTGACCTCACTGTATTTTGGTTTTGATCCTAGCTTCACAGTTCATTTGAGTATCTTTAGCACACCCAAAGCCCCATAAATGATGAGAACAGTTCTTATATTCATTCCATTTCAAGTATTTGGGATTTTTATCAGCAATATTTGGATTACAAATTGTAATTGAAGGCAATCTGAGTTCTTCTGAGTGGTAAATATCTTGGGCTTTATTCAGCCCCCAAAAAAACCTTTCAAAGCCATCAGTCAGCTGCAGCTATTCCACTAACATCCATGACACTTACACGGGATCCTATTTCTTTCTTTTAAAAAATAATTTCTTGGGATTTATGCCTGTAGTTCTTTTATTAAAAATATGGCTGACTTTGAAATGTAAACATACAGATAATATTCACAATAATAATATTAAATGATTAAAGTGTATTTTAGGAGATCTTTTCTTAAATAGGGTGTGATGCTACCTGATAGGCCTGCAATTATTCTACAAAAGCTTTTTTTATTTTTAAATGACTTCTCAGAAGAAAGTTTGGTTTTTAAGGTCCCAGCCTTTGTAAGGTCCTGGCAGGTATATCCGGTGCCACTGCACACTGCAGGATTGGGGACTGCTATTTTATCAGATGACAATATTAGAATACTTTTTTCTCTAGGTATCATAAGACAACTCTCCTTTTATTTTTGGTATCTAATTGTTAGCATACATGAAAGTGGAAAGGATTTACTGTATCTTTCCAAAATCTATCCCCTTCATGGATATGCTCAGTGTTCTCTGCAGCAAAAACAAAGTCTGTCCAGAAACAGCAGCTGCTAATAAAAATTACTCTTCACTTAATATGCTCCCCTCTAGTTAATACAGCCCCCTGCTTAGCAGCACACTTAAGCTCCTGACTTCCCATTGACTTCAATGGGACTTAAAGATGCTTAAATGGTTGCTGTATTAGGGTTTCAGATGACAACCTAAAATATTTAATCTTCTGGTGTATGCTGGCTACATTTATTCAGTATTCTTTTGTGTACCAATGTTAGTATATCTTCTATATGAAAGCAAGAACACATTGATTTTTCCTGGTTGTGTCTATCCATCCATTCTATCATATTGTTCCATGTGATTTAAAAAAAATAAATTCAGTGCAATTTGCAACAGTGAATTAATAACTTTTTTTGTTTGTTTTTTATGTTGTTTTTTTCCCTTTCTTTTCTGGTTTCCTGAAGGAGGCAGTCAAGGTTTGGTATTTTTAAAATTGCTCTCTTTTTTTTATTATTATTATCTGTCTACAACTGAAAGGTATCATTTGATTTCACCCACTTCTTTTTTTCTGGCATCTAATTTCCATAGAGCTCCGCTGTGATGGTTCTCTTTCGGGTTCTCTTTCGCCCCCCCCCCCTTTTTTTTCCTTCTTCTTCCAGTGGTTGCCCCCGCCACCCCCCTTTTTTTTCCTTCTTCTTCCAGTGGTTGGCCTTTTTTCAGATCTTTTCTATTTTTCCATCAGCGCATTCTTGTCGGTACTTTTGGAATCTTTTAGCTGTCTGGTTCCTTCTATTTCTGGTTATTTTCCTACATTTCCTCTTTTCAGTTGCATGTGGGCTAGTCTATTATGCAATGTCTGTTGTGCTGCATAGATGTACCTTTCCCGGGACGTTGTCGTAGGTATGAATAAATTTGATATCCAAACTTGACTCACCCAAGGGCCTCGTTTGCAGTTTGCCAGTACCCCAAGAAATGTACATATCTTACCTAAATTATAGCATATAACAGCTATTCTTCATGAGACATGGTTCATAGAGATTACAGTTTATAGAATACAATGTTTCATCTTGATCCAAATTGCAGTGTCCCTTCTACCAAGATGGAATATCACATGTTGAGATCTGTAGTCTTTTCAGGCTGTGTTGTAAATCAGAATAACACACACTTCATTTGCAGAGGATTACCCTGGAGATATTCTAGAGAGCTTTTTTTGTTTCCTAAACATTTATTCCATGTAGCAGATTTTAGAATGATAGAGTACAATGTATAGTAAATTAGGATTCAGTAGGAGGAACTGGATTTATCATTTGTTCTAACTGAACTAGGAAATAGACATTTCTGGACTATTAAATGTAACTTATTTCACAGGCTCATCCAAGAGCAGAATATGAAGCTAAAGTATTAGAAAAATCACTGAGGAAAGAATATATACGTAAAAAGGTATGGTAACAGTATTTATTTATTTAATCACATAAACTTCTGTGGTGAACAAATCCATTTAAGTAGTGACTTGACCAAGATTTTGGAAACAGAAATAAACATAAAGACACTATTTTATAGCACGTGTAAGTGTCCAAAAATGTATTTAATTACATGTTCAGTAGCACATATATTTAATATATATAAAACCCGTACAATTCTAGAAAGACTTCAGTGTTTGGGTATAAGATGTATTTTAATAGAATTTTTAAGTGTTTGAATTCTTATTGTGCTATGGATAAAGTTTGAGAAATAATCTATAACGGAAACGGATATGTTGCATGTTATAAGTAACTAGAATTTTTCAAAAGGGATTTCCATGTCTTCCTAGCATCCATCATCATAACATGCTAACCATTTGGGCCAAATCTTGAGGTCCTTTATTTATTCCAATCAAAGTCTGGCTGAATATGAAATGAGCAAAAACTGAATGCTAACTCATATCCTACTGCAGATTTTCCCACAGGAGAAGTATCTGGAAGAGTAAAACTTTTTCTGTCGGGAAATTAAGATTTTGCTTTCTCCTTTTCTTGTGGCATATGGATCCATTGGAATGGACTGTTCACACACTTAAAAATGCCTTTAAAAGACAAATGTTCAGCTACTGGGTTGGATTCTGGCTTTCTGCGCTTAGGTCTTGAGATGTTTGTGGCTTTTAAAAATCCCGGGGTATTGAATAAAATAAAATGGTCAATAAAGTAATTAATAATAATACTAACCCCAACTTCCTGGCTGAATTCCAGCTTTGGCAATAGCCTTCTGCATTTCTAAATATAACCCCCTGCCATCTCAGCTGAAAAAAGATATCCTTCACTTCTGATCCCAACTTCTTTTCTTATGTAATGGTGCTATGTGTCACCCCAGAAGTAACTGCATTTCAGTGATGGATGAAGTGATACCAGTGAATAGGTCATATAGCATAGCAGAAAACATTTATATTGTAAGACACATTGGGATCCTTGTAGATAGAAGGCACTGTGTAAATGCAAGATGATGATATAGCCAGATGCCATCTGACAATTAAATTAATGAGCAATGGACACCTTAGACAGACTGGACTGGAATTAGATTAAATTTGTCTTTTTTGTTTTCTTACATGCTTACATTTAAGTATAGTTTGGCCATTCATAACAAATGGTATCAGCTAGTTCTAATACATTTTAGTTAGGCTAAATCAGAAAATGTTCAAGCTTAACCTCTTTCATATTAAAAAGGTTTTAGTACCAGCATGGAATACCTTACATGCAGCATTACTTTCAAAATTGCCTTGCCAAAAAATAAATACATAAAAGGAAGCTGTCCTTTTTCCCTTTTTTGTGATGAAGAAAAACAGTGTTGTTTTTATTTTCCCAGGAAAAGTAGAGGACTTTGTAGTCTCTTTTCATACATTAGAAATACAGGCCTCGTCCCTGTAAATTTCAGTCTGAAGTGCCAGTGTATTAAAGTTCACAGTAAACATCCTTGCTAAGGCCTGCCAAACCATGAAAAAAACAGATCTGAAATTCCTATCTCTCAGACCAAATCTCAGACGGAAAAAAAAAATCTTTCAAAAGAAAAGCCTTTCAGGTTTTCTTTATACATCATAAAGAAGCAAAAAGGGCACGAGCCTAATATTTTGCAAATTCTTTGTAGGCTATCTTTAAAAATGAAGTTCTGTCAGATAGTGGGTTGTTGGCTTTGGCTTTGTTTGTTTTTGGTTTTTGAAGAAACCTGAAGCTGGAACACTCAGCATTATCAAACTAATGGAATACTTGACAAAACTTAAAACACAAAGAAATGGTCCTGCAGCACCTTAGAGTCGAAGGAAAAATGTAGATGGTATCGTGAGTTTTCATGGGCACAACCCACTTCTTCAGAACTATGAAATACTTATTGCTAAGTTGCAGTGTACTTACTAAGCCAAGAGAGCGTGACTTAATTTGGCATTGTTCATCAATGCTTTGTAACGTTGTATTGCATGGTCCTTTTTTGTTTCCTTTTAATTGCCATCAGAAGCGTCGACATTTGCCAGAAGAGACAGCAAACAAATGGAGACAGAGAGTTAAGACAGTCATGGCTGGGGTGAAATTGGTACATTTCATTCAAATTTGTGCAGAAACTCAGACTGAGTAATTATGGAAGGCACAAATAGATTGTTTTTCTCAATAACCTTTGATTGTTGAACCTTTGTTTAATATTCACATTCAGTTGTTCTTTTTTTCCTCTCTTCAGCACCCAGATACTGTTTATTTTGTGTAATGGGGATGGCACTGCATGGCTAATCTTTGGGTTAGCATACTGAATGGATGTTGCATTTTTGTATTGAAGCATGTGCCACATGTTTGACAGAGTTGCCTGCTGTTCTATCAGACAACATGCATGTAACTATGAATGAGACGTTGTGCAGTAAAATGCAATGTCATTTCTTCACTGTTACTGTCCTTTGACATTTTCTTTCTGCTCTTAAGAAATTACTCTCATTCTGCAAACTTTACAAGTGAAATCAGATTAAAGATCACATTCTGAATGAGATGGTCATTCCCAGGTTGATTTTGTGATAAAAAACAATAGAATGATCAACTGTAGTGTGATCCTGCAGATATTGAGTAACTTAAAATGTATTGGCATCAATATTATTCATGTGTGTAAAAGTTACTCGTATTCAATTGTTTACAGGAGTAGAGCCATAGCAAAGCAAAACCAACCCTGGCAACATTACACTAAGGGTCCAAACCTGAACAGCTTTTCTTATGTGAGCAATCCATATTACAGTGGGACTACTGATAGGATTAAGTGTTCCACATGTGAGTTAGGCTTGTAGGGATAGTCCTAATGGTGCTTTATTAAATACGTATTCTAACAAAACGGTTTAAATCTTTTCTGTGAAAGGAAAATAAAAGATTTTATATGCAGAGAAATCTAATTTCACACTGAAATAGCTTACTTAAGTGTGTTTCTCAAAAAAGCTGTGTAGTCATTTATGCAATGCAGGAGTTGAATTAGCACAAAATTGAAGCTAACTGTGCTGAAGAAGTTTACCTGTATAAAACTGGATCTTTGAATACTGTCCTTTCACCTTCTGACTGGTTGCGTGTGTGTTTGTTTTCCTGTGTGTTGGTGTTTTTGTTACACAAACAAATAGAATGGATTTTTTAGATGCTGTATTAAATTACAGGGGTGGTTTTTTTTCATATTTTAGACTGATAAAGAGAAACTGACATGGAAAGATCGTTTTCCAGCATATCTTACCAATTTTGTTGGCATTATCTTCATGGTAAGTATTTCCTGGCAAATATTTAAGATCCTCCATAATGAATTATTGTGAAATCTGCATTTCAAAATGAACGCCTTTTTATCTAGGAGAAAAAAACTATACAGTTAGTTTAAAGTTTAAATATTTGAAAATCACTTTGTTCAGGTAGTATTTGACTTTGGTTTTGCTTATATGTCTTTCTTTCATGGTGTCCTTAATGAGGACTGGAAAACACAAAATATAGTTCTCTATAGAAGCATACACTTCCCATGTACTGCTTTGAAGGGGACTGTAATTTACTGCATGCAGTCGTCTTTGGAGAGTTTGTCAATCATGGGTTCTTTTGGATCACAGGTTCCAAATTATATCTGCTCTTAAGTCTGAGTCAGAGTACTGCAAGTTCACCAGTCCCATGACAACACAAGGTGTGTAACTCAGAAGACAGGCAGAAGCTCCTGTAGCTACTACGATGCAGATTGTTCCTTCTCATGGTAATACCTGCAGGACGGTTTGCTAGGGATCCCTATTCCAGTGTTCTTAACTAGCTGTTCCTGTTAGGTTTGTTTCTATGGAATAAACCTAGGGGGACTCTAAATCTGGATAATCTAAGAGAGGCAAGAGACATTCACATGGAGACTCTGTGCTTCCTTGTCAGTTCTGATTCTAGGTGGCTATCATCCCCTCAGCTTCTTAGCAGTACAGCTCCAGTAGAGCCTTATTATCCGGAATCCCCTCTGGCCTTATCTGGCCTCCACCTTTGTGTATGTGTATGAAGAGAAGAAAAGAAAAGAAACGAAAAGAGAGAATCCCAGTGAAAAAGACTGCATAAACCCTAGGCTACATTATCTCTTCCTGAGAATCTCTGAAGATGAGGAAGGACAAAATTGCCCAAGGCCTAAGTCTGTGCTAATACTTGGCCTATCCAGTTGCTGCCCCCTGTCCAAGTGTGCAGACCAATGGAATGGCCTCTGAGGGGACAGAGGTATTACACAGGTAACTGACCCATACTCCTACACTAGAGGTATAGCAAAGAACTTATGGAGGTGTTTGATTCTGGGACCAATGGGCCTATGTATAGAATAGCCCATTGTTCAGTGTTTTTAATTCTTTCTTCCAAATAAGCGAGCCTGCAACATTTGGGATCAGAGGGCTGAAATAGAATCATAAAGTCCACTTAAGTCCCAATCCTGAGAGATTCTGAATGTCTTCTGTGATTTCAGAGGGAATTAACCACTTCTCAGGGAAGTGTTTAGTTTCCTACAGAATCATGTTCTTAATATACTCTTTCATTTAAGCAATTTTTAAGCAGGGTTTTTTCCCAAATCTTTCAGGAATCAGCAATATTTTTATGGATTTTATTGTACTTGTACAAGAATATGTAGTTTATCTGCAACACCATTACTTTTAGTTTAATCTTTGAACTCTCACAAAATTGGAGGTCTCAGAGGGACATTCAGACGTTTGTACAGGAAGAAAAGATAAGCCATATCTCTCTCAGAAATATTCTCCTCTTCATAGCTACAGGCCATGTGCATTCCTGGATTTGCCTTTTATAATAAGCTGTTTGCCATATATCCATTATTACTAGGAGTATCAATTAAAAGTGAAGGACATCAGTTCACTAGCATACCTCTAGCATTTGCATTTTGATTCCTTTTTATTAAGTGCTAACGCGATACTATGAAATTACTGTTATAATCAAAGTGCTAGAAACAGAGAAGCTGTGCCAGTGTTCATTGAAGTCAATAATGGTGCATCTAGATGGCAGCATTATTTCGAGATACTTCCGGTATCCCAAAATAGCACTTTCTGTGTCTTGATGGCATGCCCATTATTTTGAAATAGCTTTCAAAATAGCAAGCACGCTATTCTGACGTTACTGTAAACCTCGTTCCACGAGGATTAAGGAATGTTTTGAAATAGTGCTCTACACAGTGCCAAATTTTGAAATAAGCTATTTCGGAATTAATTCAAAATAAGCTATGCAATTTGCAGAGCTCAAATTGCGTAGCTTATTTCAAGCTAAGGGTGCAGTGTAGATGCACCTAAAAGTCCTTTCATTGATGATGTCAGGATAGTACATGGGAAGCATTTAAGAGTTAAATCTATTTGTTGATAAATGACAGTTGTGTGTTTCATAATGGATGATGCCATCATTTTACTTCCAGATTGGACTGACATTTGCTATCGTGTTTGGAGTCATTATATACAGAATCTCCACTGCAGCAGCCTTAGCCATCAGCTCAACTAACTCTGGCCGATCTAGTGTTAGAGTAACGGTCACTGCAACTGCAGTTATTATTAATCTAGTGGTGATCATCATCCTGGATGAAGTATATGGCTGCATAGCTAGGTGGCTAACTCAGATTGGTAGGTATAAATCATTGTCAGTTTTATTCGATCAGTTATTTCATAAAGTCCTCTTAAGGCCCAATCCTGTCATTTTTCAACTTGAGACAGATGAGCAAAAACAGGAAATTCAAACATAAGCCTGAAATTCTCTCTCCTTAGTTTAAAAATAAAAATAATCCAAAGGGCACATGAAATTGGTTTTATTTTTAGCTGCTTTTTCTCTGAGTTGGTATTGCTCCAACTATGAATGGGCAAAGCGGTTCCAGATAAATTAAAGTCTTGTGCTCTGTCATAACTTATTTTGGTGATGCAACTTATTTTGGGTCTTTCTAAAGTTTGGTAATATACAGATGCTTTTCCTTTTCTTTTTTTCACCTTCCAATCATTATTTAATGCAGAAACTATAAAGACATGGGAAAAGGAAGAGTCAAAACACTATGGAACTAATATTCTTCTGGTCCTGTCTGAAAATACCATAAGCAGAAGAGCCAAAAATGCTGTCCAGTTTCATGTTTTGTGCTAGATCCATACTAATTTTACAGACACAAGTAGATAGGATATTGTCATTACAAGTGAGATTCATAGGAGTTCCATACACAGAGTTATCAAATTGGACCTATTGTTTAAAAATACTGTACAGTAGTCCCCATATTACCTTTCTTTCTTTTTTCTAACCAATATTCTTATCTTCCATAGCAGTTTGTTTAAGTATGCAATTCTGTCAACAATACATTCAAGCAACTCCCATGGACTTCACTTGAGGACTGCCCTTCTGTTTTGTTATGCTTTTGTGTTGGGTTTTTTTTTTTTTTTAACCTCACATATATTAATTAGAACAGAATAAGTTACTTGTGTGGCTTGTTTCTTTTCCCACTGGGATCAGGTTTCTGCACCTCCATGTAAATATGTGCTTATATACTAAGGGACTCGTTGTTTGGATTACATTGGAACGTTTTCCCAAGTCCCAGCTTCATAAACTATTAACACTTTCCAGTCCAGAAGTTTCCTTTCAAACGCGGTTTATCTGTTTCTTCTTTACTTCAGAGGTTCCAAAGACAGACAAGAATTTCGAAGAGCGCCTTATCTTCAAGGCCTTCCTCCTGAAATTTGTCAATGCTTACACTCCCATTTTCTATGTTGCTTTCTTCAAAGGCCGGTGAGTAATCTAGACATGTAGCTGAAAAACTTCAGCTGTTACTCTGAGATTATTTTTGGAACACCGTGTTCTAGTTGAGTCATGGTGTGCAGCTAGTATTGGAAATCTTACATACATCTCAAAATAGTGTGTAATCCAGGGGTGCTGACAGCCTCCACAGGCCCCTAGGCAAGGTGTGGGAGGGGCAGCTCTGCATTCCTGGAAGGAGTGGGGCCTAGTAGGAAGGAGCAGAATCAGGAGCAGCAAGCCCTGAGCACCGCCTGGGGCATGCCATGCCACCACCTTAGCACTGCCTGGATCATGCAGCATGATCCTCCGATGGCAATTTAAAGGACCCATGGCTCCAGCTACCACTGCTGCTACAATAGCAGTGACAGTAACCAGGAGCCCCAGCCCCTTTGAATTGCTGGGCCCCAGGATGACAGCCTCCTTTGTACCCCCTTCCTCCATTGGCAGGCCCGGTGTAATCCATAAAATTTATCTATCTCCCCTAATGTCCCTTGTTTGACTTCCCATTCTTCTTCCCCATCCCTCCATGTGGTCTCATTTTATCGAAAGTTTGTTCATTTTAATTTGTTAGATTGCACTTTTAAAAGAAGTTTGCTGTGCTGTTATATGTATGTAATACTTAGGATTTATCTATGCTTAGTCAAAACTTTTAAATTTAACTAGTTCAGCAATTACATTTAAAAAATAAAATATTCCAAACACAGGCACCTAAAATTGCCCTTTCTGAACTTTACTATGTTGTTTGAAATTGCCCTTTCTGAACTTTACTATGTGATGACCAATTAACTGATTCTAAAGTCCTTGTACATGTGTAATTCACATTCAAAGCATTAGCTATTTTATCTGAAGGACTTCAGGTGTATAAAATTTATAAAAGGTGTATAAAAAAGGTAGAAGCATAATTCTGACCATTGTTTCCATACTGTCCTAGATTTGTTGGACGTCCAGGAGATTATGTTTACATTTTTCATTCTTTCCGAATGGAAGAGGTAATTGAAATTTATCTTGTGCATATTCATCATTGAGCAAGAAAAAAAAAGTGAATTCACAATCAAATTATTTGCCAAAAATGCTGACTTGCCTTCTTTTCTTGGCTTTAGTGTGCCCCCGGCGGCTGTCTAATGGAACTCTGTATCCAGCTTAGTATTATCATGTTGGGCAAACAGTTGATACAAAATAATCTCTTTGAGATTGGTATCCCGTAAGTCATATCGTTACATCCGTTTTATACCATATGTAAAAGTACATTTCAAACTTTTATGATGCAAATATCTGGCTTAGTTTGATCTATAGTCTTCATGCAACAAATCTTTAAAGCAAGACTGTGCCTGCTATACAGTAAATATCTTGTGCCTTTGTTCCCCTATAGCAGGGGTGAGCAATATTTTTTGTCTGGGGCCACTTCAAGATTTTGGAAAATGGTTAAGGGTCGCACTTTTCTGTGGATGGAGTGCAGGGTGTAGAGTGGAAGTCAAGTGCAGAAAGGTACACAGGGTAAGGGACTGGGGTGCAGGAGATGGTGTGAGGTCTGAGAGGGTAAGTCTACACTAGCCCCCTAGATCTATCTAGGGAGGCTAATGAGGGCGACCGAAACTGCAAATCAAGCCCGGGATTTAAATATCCCACACTTGATTTGCATGTTCCCTGCCGGTCGCCATTTTAGAAATTCACTAGCCCAAAGTAACTGCCCACGTCTACACGCAGCAGTGAAATGGGATTCTGATTTAAAGCGCCTAAATCAAATTAGCTGGTAAACCTCATTGCAGGAGGAATACCAGCTAATTCGAGTTAGGACTTTAAAGCGGAATCCCGTTTCACTGCCGCATGTAGACCCGGGCAATTACTTCGGGCTGGTCAATTTCTAAAATGGCGACTGGCTGGGAATATGCAAATCAAGCGTGGGATATTTAAATCTCTGGCTTGATTTGCAGTTTCGGTCACCCTCATTAGCCTCCCTAGATCGATCTAGGGGGCTAGTGTAGATGTACCCAAAGAAAGTTTGGGTAAAGGAGAGGTTGTGATGTGGGTCAGGGGAAAGGGGTGTATGGTCAGGGAGGGTGTATGGGTACAGGAGAGGATTCTGGCCTGAGAGAGGGGCACTAGGAAGAAGCTGTGACTTGGGAGAAGAGGAAAGTGGGGTGCAGACTGCAGAGGGTGTGTGAGGTGACTTGGGGCAGGGGAATGGGATGTAGGGTCTAGGAGGGAGTTTGAGTGTAGGAGAGGATTCTGGCCTGGGGGAGGGATGTAGGAGGGGCTGGGGGTGCCAGAGGCAGGCTCTAGCTGGGAGGTACTTACCTAAACCAGGAGCCCTACAGCACTCCCAAGGAAGACTGGAGTCCTAGACCACTTAAAACTGCAGGCTGCTCCCTCCACTGTGGCGCTCAGTGCCACGGAAGAGACTTGCGCAGTTCCTATCCTCCAGGCCAATCTCTCAGCTCCTATTGGCTGGTTGTTTCCAGTGAATAGGAGCTAAGGTTTGGGCTAGGAGTGGGGAGTTTACACAAGCCTCTCCTTCCCTCCAGACCAGAAAGCCACAGCTTTAAAACATGCAGCTACGTACCTGAGGGTCCCGGCAGGATGACTTATGGGTGGTCCACGGATCCAGTGGCTAGGTGGGCCAGATCCGGCCCCCAGGCTGTATTTTGCCCAGCCCTGCCCTATAGCACTTTCAAAGTCCTCATGTGTTTTTGTAATATGTTAACTTAATTGAAAAGTGTTATAGATTATTGATTTCATACTATTTACAGCCAAGATTGATGTTGAATATTAGGTTCAGTTCTTACCAAATTTGAAAATCAGTTAGTGCAGAATCCTAATTGCTTGTCTTTATCTTTGGCTTTTACTCAATTTTTATACAGATTATGAAAATTGATGACATAAGGCTTTTTATGCCTAATAGCGTGAATTTAACTGTCATTCCTGAACCCTGGAAATAGTCTGTGTTTTTAATGGGGGGGAAAAACCTGCTAAGCTGATCATTTTTGTTAATTCCAGAAAAATGAAGAAATTAATAAGATACATCAAATTAAAGCGGCAACGCCCTTTAGATCATGAGGAGCATATGAAAAAAAAACAACGCTACGAAGTTGACTATAACTTGGAACCTTTTGCGGGGCTTACTCCAGAATACATGGAAATGAGTGAGTGAGGTGAAAAAAATTAAATGTAAACTGTAGTGGCTATAATTGGGGAGATGGTGAATTGAGTTCTCTGAACTAGCAGATATGACTCATGTTACTCTACTTGATAAAAATGTCCTCCATGGTGGTAACTCTTGAACAATCACCACTGGCTGCTACAGGCAAGTAACTGGTTTATGTGATCTGGCATAATAGCCTATATGTACGTATACCACTGTCCTAAAGTGGCTAACTTTAGAGAAGATAAAAGAGCCCTACAACAACAGCTCAAGTGGGAAAAGGTACACCACACATATATGCTAATAGCTGACAGGCATGGTTCCTGATACTTCAATAGAGTACTGAAATATCAGATGCTATCTGTTGATTTTGTTACAGTTTAACACACAGTCTGAAATACACACTATTTTATAGCGCTCTGTACATTTGGCTCCAAGGTACGTTTTACTCTTTTGCACCCCTGTACATCAGTGATAACTCCACTGAAGCTAGTAAAATTAAGTCTGATTAACATGAGCACAACATTTGGCCCTGTTTGATTAATTCTGATATCAATCGTCACAGATACCCCTACAATCTCTCACAGATCACACACACATTTCTATTAGTAATTGATTAATTAGAACTGAATGGGAGCATAGTGACAGCTTACTGCTGTTGAGAGTGGGCTGTAAACCACACTTCCATTCCACTTGTCCTGTGACCAACTAGAAGGTGCTAAAGACTGATCTGCGTTATGCTGGTTACTGGGTGCATCTACATTGCACCAGCAGCTTGAAATAAGCCACACAATTTGCAAATTGCATGGCGTCGTTTGAGTATATTTTGAAATAGCTTATTTCAAAATTTGGTGCTGTCTACATAGCACCAAATTTCAAAATAGAATGCTATTCCAAAACATCCCTTAATCCTCATGGAACAAGGTTTACAGGGACATTGGAATAGCAAGCTGGTTATTTTTAAAAATATTTTGAAATAACGGGCTTGTTTAAAAGACGCAGAATAGCTATTTCAGGGTACAGGAAGTATCCTGAAATAGCACCACACTGTAGGTTTATCCATAAGGAACATTCCAGGACTGACTGAAATATGGTGCTTTCTAGCCCCACTCTCAGCATGACTCCTCCCTGTCTCTGACATGCTTCCTATTCAGATGCGGAGGAAGTGGCCTAGAGCTGGCTTTGCACCACTCGGGATTTCACTACATCTAAAGAATCCCAAGTTGCCCCTTTAAGGCATCTTTGTGGCTGGGTTGTGCTGCCTGAGCAGCACAAACTATCTGAACAGGGACTTATGGCTCTTTATGCCTGTATGAAGAACCAATTAATCAAGTACATATTGAAATTTGAGTGAGGTATAACTAGCAAGTTTCTTTCTGTTAGGGCTTGAGGGGAATGAATAATTTGTTTTTATCTCACCAAAGCACAGTTCATAAATATAGAGCACTCTCAGTGAAGTTTCTCTTTTCAGTTATCCAGTTTGGGTTTGTAACCTTATTTGTTGCGTCCTTCCCGCTGGCTCCTTTGTTTGCATTGTTGAACAACATCATTGAAATACGCCTCGATGCAAAGAAATTTGTCACTGAGCTTCGAAGACCAGTTGCAGTCAGAGCGAAAGATATAGGTAAGTAGATTACAAAACAGCCTAGACATGAGTAATGTTACCCCTTCTTCATTTATTGACTGATGGCAGGAATTTTTTTATGCTGAGTTGGCTTAATTAACAGGAAGCTCTTTATAATACAACTGAAAACATTATTAGAGTGTAACTCAGCTGTGAATAGTCATAACTTACCTAAGCTTTACTTTTAAAATATTAAGAGCAGTGTTTTAAATTCAGATTAATATTTTATTAAGTATTCATAAAACATCTGAGGATCAGAAATGATCAATAACACAATGAGATACGGTGCATGGTTTTCCACATCAATAATTTTTCCTGGACATGCAAGTTTTATTGCGGAAACAAAACCTTCTGCATTAAAAACTCCAGTCCCATAGTTAGGTAGGGGAAATATATAGGGGCAAAGGAAGTCAGTGACTGCTTGCTTCCTTGTCAGTATGAATTCTGGGATATTGGAAGCAAGACACAACAGTAAATCTGGCTGAAACCAGGTCCTACAATTGCACAGAAACACAACACTGGATCTGCTACCTGAGGGAATCTTTTGATTGCAGAGGAGAATGAGAAATGGATTTGCCCCGCCAGCTATTTTCCCTTATTAGCAGTTAAAAAGGAATCTTCTGTGGAGATTTTAGTTCCCCATGTGTCATTTACTCCTTACAAAAAAATATTTGGGCCCATTTGATCAAACTTCATCGTTTTTTCCTTATGTATTTGCTACTCTTCCATTTTGCAGTAACCTTGTCTCCTCCCCATCCCGCAGCAAGTGTAGCTGGCTCAGGTGCTTTTAAAAATGAGGCAGGTGTCTAAATATGGATGTATGGAGCCATACTTTAGGCTCATGTTGGTTCCTATTTTATGAATTAGAGTATGTTACAAACTGAAGACATTTTTAAACATTAAAAACCTAGAGATAAAGCTGTAGTGATGTGCAGTCATGAGACGTGGCAGATAAACTTATCAGTGTTAACTTGAAAATGTGTAACAAGCATTTACCACCATGTTTGTCCTTCCCTTAGGAATCTGGTACAATATCCTCAGAGCTGTAGGAAAACTTGCTGTAATAATAAATGTAAGTAATTCTACATAAGTAAAATTTGAATGCAATGGCCCTGATTCTCCACTCATCACACTGGCTTTCTTCTAATTATCTCCACTGAAGTCAGTGGAGCCACATGGATTAAAGCAAACTAATGGACTAGCGAATCAAGTCCAGGGTTTAGTTTTAAATTGTGAGTCACAGTGCATGATATATTACTCATGCATTATAAAAGCTTGCAAAATTAAAAGGTTCATAACTAAAGACTAATTGGTATAAAAAGCCATAGTAAAAATATTCAGTGGTAACCTTGGCGTCTTTTTTCCAGACAATTTTTATTGCATCTGCTGACCTTAAACTAGCCTTGTTTCCTAATAGTCTACATATGTTGTAAGAATCTTACCTTGACAACATTTTTTTAAATGCTAATTAAGAAAACGTGACATCCTTCTGCACTTATTGGGAAGCTCTTCAGCTGGTGTAAGTCAGGTTAGCTCAATGGCATTCGCTTTACACCACTTGGGGAGCTGGCTCTTAATGATGTGTTCATACTTTGAAAATATGATATGATCCCTGTCTTTCGTACTCTGTTGTGCAGCTATGGAAATTAATAAGAATGTTTTCATGCACTTAAATGAGTGAAGACGAGGCCCTTAAGAAAACATGTGAGACTACTTCAGTGTGTCATAAAATCAGACATCTTTGGATCATTTTGGGTCTTCAGAAAACTTTGGGGTTAAAAGAGTTGAATATCTGACTGAATTTTGTTTACATTTACACATTTTCTCTGTGTTTGTGGACGTGTGCATATACTACATGTGTTACACAAAGACTATTTCATTTCATAGTCCCTTCACACGCAACAGAAGTTAGATTTCTGTCAAAGTTACCAGCCAGGTGAAAAATGGATCTAGATAAAACAAGAGAGGAGACAGAGCTGCACGTGTGACTCACCTTAAAATACTGTGTGTCTGTGGAGTCTGGTTTTCTCTCAGCCTTTAGTTTTAAGGATGTGATATGCCCCTTACATTATCTTATAACTAGATCTGGATGAAATCTTTCAACCAAAACTATTTTTCAGGAAAAAATGTGTATTTGGGTCAGCTGAAAGATGGTTCAAATTTGTATGGATTTTGTTGGGTGGCTTTGGTTTAAAAAAAAAACTACAAAAAATCTGAAAAAGTAAATATGTTTAATTTCAACATTTCAAATGAAACATTTTGATTCAAAATGACTTTATTTGAAATTAAGTTCTCTCATATATATAAAAAATAAAGTTTTCCCTGCCAGGCAACAGAGTGACAGTATCACACTCTATAGCCACAAAAGCAAAAGTGGCTAGAGAGAGGAGGGTTAGAGAGCATACTGAGCACGGGACACAGCCCACTAGTATTTTGTAAAAATTAAAAAAATAAAGTTCAAAATCAAAATGATGTATTTTGTTTCAAAGAGAACAAAACATAAGATACTGGATGGCTGGGACATTATCAACCTATCAAACAATGAAGTTTTGGACATCCAACACTCTGGTCATCTGAAGAAGTGGGCTACAGCCACGAAAGTTCATACCACCATCTTCATGTTTTGTTAGTCTTTAAAGTGCTACCAGACTATTTGTTGTTTTTTGAGTTGATCCTGTACAGACTAATGAGGCTACCCCCAAAGCTTTAAAACATTTTGTGTGACCCAAAATGATTTTTAAAGACTTTTTTCTATTCAGTGAAAGTTTTGAGAAAAAAAAATTATTTTCAAGTCAACCCAAAATGATTGTTCTCTTGAACTTTTGACAGAGAACTAAACAAATGTATTACTTGCAGAGCTCTGCTTCTAAGCTCCCTCTTCAGCTAATGGATAGTTGCCACTGTGGTATCTTCTTCCAACAGGAAGGAGAAGATGAAGCCATTAGAGGCCTATGCCATTCTCAAAGTGCTCCTCAGGTTAGGAAAGATCATGTAGCCCATCACCTTAGAAGCCTGTTTTAAGCAGATTAACTCAACCATGCACCTCAAAAACCTGGAATTTTATTTCTCAACTGAAAACTGATCCAAAGCTCATTGAAATCAATACAAAGACTTCAGAGGACTTTGGATCAAGCCCTTATTTCCAAGCAGGGAAGTCTCACAGATGCAGCACCCAGAATTGCTGGCAAAGCTAGTTCCCATTCTGTCTTATATTTTAGTGTGCTACCTTTAATTTCTCCCTTCTCCTCTTTCCTGCTTCTCCTCTTTTGCTTTAGAAAATTCTCTATTTAGTCATTAATGACTGCTGTTCTCCTTACTTGAATCTATCTTCTCTCTTTTTTCTGTCATAGCATAAGTCAGACTTTGTGCTGCACATACATGAGCTACATGTGAATTACAATCTCTTTCCTGATAGCGATATAAATGAGAGGCGCCAAACTTATTGAGAATGCAACTAAATTGACTGTCTTTGCATTTTGCGTAGCACTCTTATTTATAAAAATTGTTTAAATAACTGAGGAGAATACAATATATTTAGTGACTGCAAAAAAGGCTACCTCGCCCAAAGTGATTGTTCTTTTATCTTGTTCTAGTTAAAAACCTTATTAAAATTAATAGATTTTTGCAAAGCAGAGGGCATTTAAAGAGTTGTTTCACTGCGAGTTATTTGCAGCACATAAAAGTACATCCAGAGCAATCAATCAAGGGTTATACAATCCATTAGGGACCAGTTGTAATTGGAGCAGAGGGAAACATAATGGTTTTGCTTTTTAGCAATGTTACACAAATTATTCTGTACAGCCATAAACTTAATATATTTAACACACAACAGAAAAACGCCATAAAATCTAAGACAACTCAAGGTTGAAAACACTACTGATATTTAATAAGTAAAATACCTGCTATTTATTTATTCTAGTCATTTATATAAGACTAGCAAAAGACCAAGGGGGGAAAAAGCAAAGTCTATGAACCTCAAGAGTCTGGGTCTGATCACAGCTGATCAAGGAAATAGCAGTCTTCAGCAATTTTGGCTACAAGAGATCATTACCTTTTTTGATCTGATCAGCTATTGTGTGATATGCAGGGCCAGCTGAAATTGTTACCTTTTTTGATCTGATGAGCTATTGTGTGATATGCAGGGCCAGCTGAAACAAATCTGGGACCTCTGCAAGGCCATTTGTTTGGAGGACCCCGTCCCCCGCAATCTTCAAGGCCCAAAGCTCGGTCTACAATCTTCTCTTTCTGTCTATCCTGGACACAAAATGTGAGGGTTAGTGGTTGGGAGGGAGCTGAAGTGGGAATAGGAAAAGTAATATGTCCAGGGCTAGCATATGCATTTGTGGAATTAGAGGAATAGCAGACTGAGGTTTTTTGCTATGTCAGGGTGATGAGGACCAAGTCATGAAAAGGGGGACAATGTTTGGATTCCCTATGGGGGAGCTCCAGTTACTTATACAGGGATATCAGCCAACATGAAGCTTCTCCTACTCAATACTATACTGCTCTGGAACCTGAACAGTAAACATTATACTGATAGATGGCTAGGATTTCCATGTACTTAGTGTCCCATGGGCTGCAGACTTAGACTTACTGTCTGAATCAGCCCACTGCATAACATTCTTCAACTCATAAGCATTATATGGGAAGATACACTTACGAATATTATCCACTAAGCATTACCTGAATATTGCATTCATTCTTTACTCTTATGGCTTAGGCATTTGTGATCTCATTCACATCCGACTTCATTCCACGCCTCGTGTACCTGTATATGTACAGTGAAAATGGCACCATGCATGGCTTCGTGAACCATACGCTATCCTATTTTAATGTCACCGATTTTCAAGAAGGAACAGCTCCAAATGACCAAATGGGACCTGACCACAAGGTTCATATATGCAGGTACTCTCTTGACTAATAGCCATTTTAAATGATTTTCCCTGTCAAATGGAGGTGTACTAGCTTCTTCATGTGTTTGGTGGGACTCATAGCGACACGGTCACATACCGCCTGATTTAGGCACCATTGTATTCTATTGGCAGCTCAGTCCTCTGTATCCTATACAGAGAATAGTTACCATTGAAATAACTGCATGTAGATAAAGTTACCACAAGACTTGCAGCATATGCATAGCTTAGTTTGGGAAAATGAGGTTACCATGTACATTTTAAATACTTATCAGGGCATTTGCAAAGTGTTTCTTGCTAAGTAGTTACCAAATATTTGTGTTAGAGGAGGGAGCAAAAAAACTCACATTGTATGGAACTCCCCTATCTGATTTTGGGATCTAGTATGATTGGCCAGTTTAGGAATTTATCTCCTTCTCTTTTACAAAGTCATAACCACCACCACCATCCTTCCAGCTCAGGACTGGGCAACACCACTCCTTAATTACCCAATGCTGATGGCAGATCAGTCCAAGAGATTTTTCTCCTTTGCTTGACCAAAAAGCCTCTGCATCACTACAAAACTAGGGGGAGTTATTGATAATCAAAGTAGGGTCTTCTGAAACATGCTATTTCCAGGATAATGCCATTTTACTGAGATGATATTATATTTCCATTATGGTATTTGATATCATCTCATCGTAATGTTCTGCTTTGACATGATGTTTTGCTGCCATCACTTCAAAGTATACTCTTGGGAAACAAGATGTCACAATATTGCATCATGATTAGGCTTGGCAGGTATCGATTTAAATCGATAGATGTTGGTAAGCATCAATTTCAACTGGTGTACTAAAATAGATGGGGGGGAAATGCCCATCTATTACAAATGGTGCAAGTGTAGTGTCCCACCTTGCACCTTGTGTCTGCAAAGATCAGATATCTCTGCCCCTGTCGCAACACAGAAAACCATCTGCAGAGTGAGGGAGTAGGTCCATGACAGAGAAGCTGCAGAGGCTCTGTGTGTGGGTGGAGGGCTAATGATACTGGATCTCTGTAGCACTAAGTGCAGACAAGGCTACAATCCTGGTGGGACAGAGCAGAGACCCCAGCCAGGGCAGTCACGAGGCCCTGGGGAAACTGCTCTCTTTGCTCCCGCTCCTGTCGGCAGGCCTGCCTTTCTCCCATAGTTTCCCACAACTTTAAAAACACAAATGTATTATTATTATTTATTATTATTAGATATTAATCATTGAAATACCAAAAAAAAATTTCATTCCGCCAACCCAATGATGATGTACTGATGCAATGACACCACTTCAAGATCTAACTGTCAGGACTACCCAGTTTAGCAAGTAGTTCAAGCTGGCAATAATGGCAACTCTGTTACAGCTATGGACCCAATTCTGCCATCCCTCCTCTTGTGGAATTTCCAATTGACTTCAGAACTGACAGAATTAAATCCTTGGCCTTAGGCCCATCTAGAACTAGTGTGATCAAAACAAATTTTACATATTATTTGTATTTTTGAAGAAATTTTTTTGCTGAATATTTCAGCTTGTCGAGAAATCTGGGTCAATACTGAAATGTATCCTTTGCCTAGGCTCACTTAGATATGCATGAGTTTTAAAATGTTCTCAAAGCCTGTTGTTGGGGATCAAGGCCAAGAGGAGAAATGAGAGTAATTCAAACAAGAAAGATAAAGAGAAAAATTGAGACTTTACAGAAAAAATAAGGGATTTTGGTCTCTTTCTATTGGAAAATTACAGAAATCAGCAAGAGAACAAAGGCATATATATCATCCAGTGTTTCTTAATTTACACTATTTACTACTGTTGAAATCAGAAGTTACTGTTAAGATGCCTTAAAATTAAAAATCATTTTTATTGTAACATAAAAATGAAAACCAGCTAGAATCAGCAAAGATATCTACTCCTGCCTACATTTCCTTTCTTCTGTGTCCATGAGGTGACCCTCTCTTGAGAGAGGAAATACCAGTGTGTTTGGAATGTTTTCAATGTAGAATTATTGCTAGAAGGAAAGAATTAGCTTCATGATCCGATACCCAGCACTGTTTTTTCCTGACCTTTTTCCAAAAAGTCCCTTTTTAATTCTGGTTCCAGTTTTTCTCACTCTTTCTTCTGGTAAAATCCAGTTTCAGAATATGAAGAAATACTTCCTGCATAAATATATAACAGAATGATACTAATGTAACTTCCATTTTTTCATCAAATTACTTTATAAAGACAAAAGCAAATGGCTGTTAATTTAGCATGGATTCACAGAACATATAACCAGTGCTATGGTGAAATTCTCTTTTTATATGCACTCAGCAAGAGCTTGATTCCAATCTTCTGTTGTTCCTATGAATGGAAATCTAAATATTGTAGTTATGACACACCATACAGATCAGTATTTTGCTCCTAGAGCCAAACCTGAAACATAAAATACTCCCAAACTTAGAAATTGAGATTCTCTGAATTTTGAAGTTCAGCCCCTCTTTACTTTGACTTTATATTGTTCCAACTAATCAGAAAGCATAAAAATGTAAGTGTCATCTTCTTTTAATTCACATAATATTTCAAGGCTATGACCAGGCTCTTTGTTCTGTCTTGTTTGGCTGGATTTTTACACATCCTTTCTATGAAAGAGATTTGTATCATAAAGGTCCGAATTAATATGTAATGCACAGTCTGTGCTAAACTCTAATTGTGCTAACATTTCTAAACAACATCTTTGATTTACTATCTCTTGTTTTACAGATACAAAGATTACAGAGAACCCCCATGGTCTGAAAACAAATATGATATTTCAAAGGACTTCTGGGCTGTCCTAGCAGCAAGATTAGCATTTGTGATAGTTTTTCAGGTACTGTTAGATCTACATCTTTTCAGACTTTCATAACAAGGAAAGAGACAACACACACACACACACACACACACACACACACACACACACACACACACCTATTATAAGGAAAGAGACGACAACACACACACACACACACACACACCTATTATTTTGCTGAATAAAATGAGTACACTAGCTATCGTTTACCAGTCAGAGTTCCTCCCTATGGCTGCTAATTTCCCCAAACTTTGCATCATGCTTGAGAAAGCACAGAACAGCTACAGGCTGATTCCCACACAGGGATACACGGCTCCCTACCCCCCATGAAGTTTACACAAACTAGTGACTTCAATTGCAGGAGTAAGGAAGGATTTAAGCACAGACCTGGAGTAACCAATGTGCACTCAGTACATTTGCACAGGGTCCCCGGCCTTGGGATTCCTGCTCACCAGATTTGGATGGGTGACATTGTGACCGGCCAAAGTTGAGTAGAAATTTGGTCTGGTTGCCTGTCCCATCTTACTGTGTGAGCATGGTGCAGGCAGTGAGAGTGAACAGAGTCACTGGACAGCCAGGATCAGGAGGGGCCTCACTAGTGTGGGACAGAAGCAGAGTGCTGAATTGATATAGGGAAGAATGAGGGAACCACTAATGAGATCTCAGGAAGATCCCAATTCTTCTCACTAGTGTATATGTTCTGCATCTGTTAGGGAGACCTATCCTGCTATTTTCCTCCAGCTCCACCTGAAAGTGACAGCAAAACTACATAGCAGATACTTGGAACTTTCCTCATGCTAGTCAGGCAGAGAAAGTCTGAACTACAACAAAAATCTAAAGATCTATGTATATTCTCGTTCCATTTTACTTTGCTAACATTTCCTTAACATCTATCTTTCAGAACCTAGTCATGTTTATGAGTGATTTTGTGGACTGGATTATCCCAGACATTCCCAAGGACATTAGTCAGCAGATTCACAAAGAGAAAGTTCTCATGGTAGAGGTCTTCATGAAAGAAGAACAAGGAAAGCTGCAGATGCTAGAAACCTGGAAAGAAAAGAGCATGAAAAAAGGTGAAAACTGTAACAACCACAGCCCCAAGCTCTCAAGGACTGGGAGCATGTCTTCCCACCATTCATATAACATTGACGTATAGAAGAGGAGAGTAGTTTTGTTTTGTTGAGGCATTCCATTGATAAACAAGCCATTACTTAAAGGGCAAGACTTGATTTATGGACAACCGGGTGAATGTTTAAGTATGTCCAACTGTTTTGCTTCCAGCTCCATGAGAAGTTCTCTTCTTACAAACATGGAAGGACACATTCTGTTTCTGATATTTTTTTTTAAGTAAAGCAGGGACTTTTTATATTTCATAGTTAGATAACACTGTGGATGTTAATGTGTGTTAACAAAACACAGGTACTTAGAAATATCTGAGAATCTGACTGTAGCTTATTAATTAAGAAACAACCAAAAGTACATTTTAAATAATAATAATAATTTAAAATATTTTGGCAGTCCGTTCCTGAAAGGCTTTGAGCAGCTTTACAAAATATATGCAAAGCCAGATTTACAATATGCTCTAGCATTTCCTTTCACAGGAGAAGAGAAACAATATCCACCTTCTAAGGTATTTTCAGTTTCAAAAGATGCAACTCAGCTCCCCTGGTGGATGTAATTTGGATTTGACCCTGCAGATTCTAGGCAAATAAAACTCCCATTAGAGTCACTAGGCTATATTCACTGAAGCTTGAGCAGGGTAAATCCCATTGGGAAATTTGCCCCATAGACAAGGATGGGGGAATCACTTTTTTTTTTCAGCTGAGACTCCATAGGGACCCTGCTGGCAGAGTCTGCTGTGCACTAGAGTCTTCCATTGGGACACTTCCCCACTCAGGATAATGAGAAGATGAAATCAGTGTAGAACATGTTAACCTTTATCCCAACTCTGTACACACGGACAGCTGTTTGCTTACCCCAAAAGCATTTCAGGAGAATGATTCACGTGGGTTCAGGTGCTCCAGTGCCCTAGATTGTATCATGGACTTGTCACAGTCAACTAGGAATTCGTGGAATCATACAATCCCTCAGCCTTTCCTCATAAGTCATGTGCTCCAGTCCCCTAATCATTGCTGAACTCTTCCCAATGCATCTACAGTCTTTCTGTAATGTAGGGAAGGGGCACAACTGAATGCAGTACTTCAGATGTGTGGGGGAGGGGCACAACTGAATGCAGTACTTCAGATGTGGCCTCGCCAGTGCCAAATAAAGGGGAATAATCACTTCCCTAGATCTGTTAGCAATGCCCCTATGCCATTAGCCTTTTTGGCTATAAGGACAAACTGTTACTCATATCCAGCTTTTCATCCACAGTAATCCCCAGGTCCTTTTCTACAGAGCTGCTACTTAGCCAGTCAGTCCCCAGCCTGTAACAATGCTTGGGATTATTCCGTCCAAAGTATAGGACTCTCCACTTGTTCTTGTTGAACTTCATTAGATTCCTTTTGGCCCAATCCTCCAATTTATCTAAGTCACTCTGGACTCTATCCCTACCTTCTAGCATCTCTCTCTCCCCGTAGCATAGTGTCATTTGCGAATTTGCTGAGGTCTCTCTCCCCCTAGCATAGTGTCATTTGCGAATTTGCTGAGGGTATGCATCATGCCATCATTCAGGTCATTATTAAAGATGTTGAACAAATCCGCCCCAGAACTGACTCTTGGGACAGTCCACTTGATACCGACTGCCAACCAGACACTGTACCGTTGATCACTACCCATTGAGCCCAAAGATCTAGTCAGATTTCTATCCACCTTATAATCCATATATCCATACTTCCTTAACTTGCTGGCAAGAATACTGTGGGAGACAGTTTCAAAAGCCTTGCTAAAGTCCATGTATATCACGTATAGCACATCCACAGCCTTCCCCATATCCACAGAGCCAGTTCTGTCTCATCATAGAAAGCAATCAGGTTGATCAGGCATAACTTGCCTTTGGTGAATCCATGTTGACTATTCCTGATCACTTTCCTCTCTTCCAAGTGTTTCGAAATGGATTCCTTGAGGAGCCCCTCTATGATTTTTCCAGGGACTGAGGTAATTCAGATAATTACTTAGTGGTAACAGCATAGCAACAGCAGCAGCACGATTTCACAGGATTTTCCAGCAGCCAGAGCACTGTGGAGTATTTTCAAAAGTGTCCTGAATTAATGAGCACATGTAGAACTACAGTAACTTACTCTGCCCCACGTATTATCTAGATACGATCGCTGCTGAACGGATATACTGAATCCACCTTTCCCCATCAGCTCTTCTCTACAGCCCACTCTCTTTTGCAATGAACAGGATATCACAGACACTTTGCTTGGTTGCAATCTCCCAAACATGGCAGACTTTCTGATACTAGTAACATCTACCAGAGATTATGTCAGGAAGAGGTAGGGTAGGTTCTGGGTGAATATGATCTATTGTCCTTAATGGAAGTTTTGCCTACTCTGGAACTACAGGACCAGAATTTAAGTTACAGGCCTTTTTTTGTCTTAAAATATGTTTATATGACATTTCCTTAAAATAAATCTAAAATTCTTATCTGTGATGTATATCTAGACACCATCAGTGCAACTCTCTTCATGTACAGCACATTTTTAGTTTAAGGTTTGTCTAGTGATTAAAAGGCACTTCCTAAATAATACTGGTGCATTTAACCTGATTTCTTTTAATATCTTCTTTTGTCCATTGCACTTCCACTGAAAATAGCAAACTAAACAATAAATTAAATTAAACTAAACTAAACACAAACGTTTTTCAGCCTATCTACTGTATGGTTTGTTACAAAACCAAACATCAAAAGACATTCATGGGTGGAGGGGGTATTTTTTTTTCTTACCAAAGTAATTTAAAGATTTAAAATAGAACTTTAAAAATACCACTTTTTTTGTAATATTTATTGGTTTTACTATAAAGTACGTCATGACTTTCAGATTCTTTTCTGTACTCTGTCCAAAAAAATACCAGAAGAGAAATTATGTGGAAAGAAATGAATTATAATAACCAAATATTGTTAAAAACTAATTTAAGATATTGATCCAACCAAAGATGTTTATTAATAAAAGGGCTTATATTTTGTTAACACTTATTTCTTTAATATTTTGACTTGCAGGAATGTCATTATTTTTAATTATAATTTGAGATATTGTAATAATATAGGGCCAAATCCTGTCTGATTTATTCTCACACAGAGTAAACGTTATGCCTGGTAGTACCTGTATGCAAGATCAGGCTCACTGACTGAAACAGAACCACTAGCATGAATAAGACAAGTAGAGTTTTGCCCATACACCTTATAGAAAATATTCTCAATTTAATTGATTGATAACCTATACATTCTAAAGAAACCAACTGGTAGACACCTTTTATGAAGATAATTGTTATGGAACTTCCTTTGAAGGAATTTCTAACTGTAAATAATTTATCTAATATTCTTGGCTTAATACTGACATTCCTGTAAATAGTAAAGCTATATCCTAAGTATATATTTGTCATAAATTTTATTATTTGCTGAAATCATAAGAATAACTGGTTATGCTTTTTTTTGTACAGCAAATTGTTTGAAATGAGATTTTGTACATAAATACTGTATTACTACTTAGATGACTATATAAAAATCCTTTCATGGAAACCATTTTTTAAGAAAAGTAAATGCTTTAATTTTTTTTGAACATTTATTCAGAATAAATTTAAATATGCAAGAGTTTTTACTGTGGGAAAGATTCCATTCTCCTGTCATCACCACAGCCTGTGTGAAAACATATGAGTATTGGTGGACTTACAAGACATGGAAAATGAGTTGAATGAATGCATTACAGTTTGCATAAATTTAGTACTACTGTTACATACAGTTTTCTTTACTCTGTGCTTTGTCTGTGTGGGCATTAGTGACAAGATCTGAGAGATCTCTCAGCCATTATACATGAACAAATCTCTTTATAGACACTGTTGTAAGCAGTGCCGGGGTAAGTATAAAAAAAAGCAACTGCTTTGGGCCTTGAGCAATTCCAAAGGAGGGGCCCTATTAATTATTAGTATGTGTTGGGGGGCAAAATACTACTTCTTAAGACCCCTTACAGAGTAGCAGTGCCGCTGACTGTAAACACCTTGTGTGAGATGCTGATTGCCCGCAACTCCCACTCACACCAGTCAGAGCTGAAGCTATTCAGCATGTATGCGTCTTTGTTCTCTTCCAGCTCATCTGATGAAGTGAGTTTTGCCCACGAAAGCTCATGATACTATATATATTTTTGTTAGCCTCTAAGGTGCTACAGGACTATTTGTTTCATTCCAACAGTTTAAATTGGACTCATGGCTACTATGCATGTTTCGAATAGCAGGTAAAAATTCTATTGTATGAAAGGACGAAACTAAAGCAGTAGCACTGTATCATTCTCTCAAATCTCTTTGCTTAACCTACCTCAGAATGTGGAAGAGTGGAGCAGATGAAAGGGGTGGGTTGCGCAGATTATATTCTTATTGCATTTGTCCGATCTGTCAGGTAACAACATGGTTAGAATTAGCAGTTTAATTTTCATGTCCTCCAACCTTTGGATTGGAGTTTCTAGTAGAGCAAAGCAGAGCATTCTTTCACGCCAGTCCTCCCATTCAGCACCAAAAATCTGCAGTTCAACTAACTTTGATTGGTGCACCTAGAATTTAATTAGCAGGTAACACACAATGTTCTGGGATATAGGATATTGAAAAGTGTGGCTAGACTGCATATAGGCACATGCTTTAAATAGTTCATTTTTAGGAGCTTAATATATCCTATAAGGCCCTAGTTCAGAAAAGTACGTGTTTAACTTGAAACATTAGTCAGGCCACTGAAGCATTAAAGTACGTGTTTTACTTGAAACATTAGTCAGGCCACTGAAGTCAACGTGTGGTATGTTTTTATTACTGAGCTTGGACTGGTGTGTTATCCAAACAAAGGCACAGCCTGAGTTTTGTGCTATATATGTTTTATCAAGTAGGCTAAGAACAAACCTTAACTTTGTCAAATGCACTACCCCCATTCATATTATTCGTATAATAGATTTGGATTGGGGATGGGAATCTTGTAAGAAGCTGATAAGACACTGTTTAACTGGTGGTTGGTTTGACTCTGTCATTAGTCTTTCAGAAGTGACTAAATAGGAGGTAGGTGTGCCACGGAGAAGAAAATTCAGTTAGCTATCTGAAGCTAATGAAAGCTCTCTCTATATTCTTATCGCAAGTGGAGGCAATTGTGTGTCTTCACTTTTTAGATAGCGGCTGGGGAATGATTTTGTTCATAAAAGATAAAATGGAAAAACCAGTGTGCATTAATTCCCAACCAGAATGTTGGGAGTAAAGAAGAAATAATAGTACTAATTGCAAAGACCTGAATGTGATTCTGAGCTACAGTGTGCATTAATTCCAAACCAGAATGTTGGGAGAAAGAGGAAATAATAGTACTAATTGCAAAGACCTGAATGTGATTCTGAGCTACAGTGTGGGCTAAAGTCCAGTTTGTGAGGATTGGTAGCACTTACATCTTTCTTAGCTGAGTACTGAATCAACGTGAAGGAGCCTACATTCTGATATTCTTTCAATTCCCACTCTAATAAATGCAAGACCAGTTTTCACCATGGAGCAATATAAAAGAATAATAATAATAATAATTTGAATGCAAAACACGTAACAACAATTTGTGAAATAGAAAAGTCCATGTCCACTGTGCATTTAGCAAGTGAAAGACTGAAGGGGAGGAAAGATTAGAGTAGGAAGTATCTAATTGTAGCATTTTAAAATATTGCTATGTATTTCATTAACAAAAATTGTGGGAAGGATACATAAATTCTGTCTGTATGTTTGAAGAGGAAATTATACACACCCTATTCTGTTGACATTACAAGACTAAACCTCCTGGATTTCCATGTCATTGTGTTTCTAAGATACTGCACTACAAATACTTTGCAGACTTAAATTGCTTGAGGGTTAATAAGTCTCAAATCAAAGCACAGATATGCTTTCATTTTTAACCCTTCAATAATGTGTGGGGCTGTAGCTGCTAACGGTCTTTTCTGGTTGTTGCATGATATTTTAGTAACAAACAATTTGAAAACAATGAGTAATCCTGTAGCACCTTAGAGACTAACTATATACATATATATAAACATGAGATTTTTGGGGG